TCTGCACTTTTTGCATGGAAGAGGTTGCATTCAGATGGCATTTATTCCATTCTCCCAACATTTCCTTACTTGATAATCTTATGTGATCTTTCATGTGCTGTAAAAGCAGTTTCCGGAAATCTAATGGTATGTAGCAGAAGTTTAGTGCTCATTTCCACGTTGTTCCCAGAAACAAATCCATTTGCAACCCTGTTAATTCAGAAAATCACATGAGTTTTGCATTGTAATTTTTGTGCAATTTTTAATGATTGTGCTGCTACTACTCACATGATGAAAATTGGGCTGGTATTCTGGCATACAGCTCTTTTACACCATTTGAGAGTTAACACAACATGGCAGTAGTAGAACAATCAAAAAGGCCACAGTTCCAAAACGCAACAGGGAAAACGAACATTAGAAATCAGGACAGAGCATTATAACCAATAAAACTGATGCAATAAACCCCACGTCTGAATTCAGCCAGAGAACTCTGAGAAGCTGTCTAATTAATTTGCAAAACTAATGTGACGATACATAAGCATATTTATTTCTCTTTCTGTGTCTCTGACTTGTTGCTTGAACAAGAACTAAGTAAAGATCAAAGGTTTGTATTATTCTGACATGTCAATCAACAAGTTGGGTCATTAAAAGATGTCATATGTGCAAGTCCTTTGATGGTGTTTACACACTTCATTTCATTTTCGTTCACTTCTCTGTTGTGTCCTCATGGAATTAAGACAAGTGTTTCCTGTACAAAGATCCTTCCTCCTTATGGAACTGCAGCCTCCAAGTTTAATGTGTCCCCCGTCTCTCTCTGGAAAATGCTGAATTTGCACATTTGCACCCTCCCCTGAATAAATATGATAAAATATGCAGGGAGCAAACACTGCGAGAAGATTGCAAAGCAGTAGCTACATCGCAAGATATTCAGGATTTTAGTAGCTCCTAGGGTGTAAAATGAGCCAGAGTGCGAATTTGTCCTAGCAAAGAAGATTTGTGAGTGAAGGAGCTAGGCACATGACATCAAAGAATGGCAGGGGACAGCATGAAATGTTGCTCAGCATCAACTGCAACAAAACATTTTACCTCTTTAATCTAATAAGCCAGTGGTTCTCAATTAGCTAGGTTCTGCGGACCCCTTGTTTTTCAAAAGTCAAGCTCTGGACTCCCTACTTTTAAAATGTTTGATAGCTCTATGGTAGTGTTTGTTATGTGAATGGCACCACAGATCCCCTGGGTGGGTTATGCAGACCCCCTCAGATGAAAAGCACAGGGTCAGGGGTGGTTCATACAAGGAGAGGCGATCCTTAAGTTATTGATATCCTGAGCCATGTAAGGCTTTATAGGTCAACACCAGCATTTTGAATTGGGCCCGGGAATTAATCGGCAGCCGGTGTAGTTGTGCCAGAATTGGTGTTACCTCTTTGACTGCTGTGAATAAGCTCCAAAATGTTTTCAGTTTTCATCAGCAGTTCCAGCGATACCACCCCATTCTGTCCTTGGTGGGGTTGTCCATGCGACTTTTCTCAGGATCCCGTAATTAAATTGGTGGCGGGGGCAGAATTGGTGCTGATTCATCAGCAAATTGAGGCACCATGATAGAATCAAAAGGAAGTGTACCGTTCACACAATGCAAAGTTTTCAGGACAGTATTCCTCATCTCTCTCTCTCTTACTACTACTACTACTGTCAAGTCTGACTTGAAAATCAAAATGGGTGATCATTTGATGCAACCCTGTACAGACTTCATCTTACAGATTTTCTAAAAGAAGGGTCAACCTCAAAGCGTTAGTACTAACCATCAGAAAACATGGCAGGCAGCTTTCCTGGAGCCTGCAGACAGTCCAGCTGCAGCAACAGGAAAGCAAAGAAGCCAACCCAACAGATAAATCAAAAGCCAGCCAGCCAAGCCACCAGCAGCAGGACACCAACAAGAATAGTCGAGGGCAGCCAAATATGGAGACATCACAACACTTCGCTGCAGGGGTCTCCATTATGTGGTTGTGGTAGCAGACATTGGTCGCTATCTGAAGCAAAGGAAATAAAACGTGGAAGACATGAAAAAATGTCGTTCTCGCTCCAGGCATTTCCATCAACTAATTTATAGCAGGGGTTTCTTATGCGTCTGATTCTAACATGGTAAGTGGAGGTAGGGGCGCAATTGTTTCAACTGAAGAGGTGACATCCATTGGTAGTCATGCTCAGAGTAGACCCACTGAAATCAATGCTACTTAAGTCCATTCATTTCCTTGCAAAGGAAACACAAGGCAATTGCAGGGAAATGTAATTATGTAACACTGGAAGACCGAAAAAGCAAGAACAATAACGAATACCAATCCCATTCCAGACATGGGAATAAATAAGAGGAAACCAGCAATTTCTTCAACTGTTTCCTTTTTCACTGGACTTCTCTGACATCTCTACTCACTGCGGTGGCTATATGCTACCACCAGTATTAGAGACAGACTATCTCTGAGCACCTGGGATGCAGGTGGTGCTGTGGGTTAAACCACAGAGCCTAGGACTTGCCGATCAGAAGGTCGGCGGTTTGAATCCCCGCGACGAGGTGAGCTCCCATTGCTCGGTCCCTGCTCCTGCCAACCTAGCAGTTCGAAAGCATGTCAAAGTGCAAGTAGATAAATAGGTACCGCTCCGGCAGGAAGGTAAACGGCGTTTCCGTTCACCGCTCTGGTTCGCCAGAAGCGGCTTAGTCATGCTGGCCACATGACCCGGAAGCTGTATGCCGGCTCCCTCGGCCAATAAAGCGAGATGAGCGCTGCAACCCCAGAGTCGGCCACGACCGGACCTAATGGTCAGGGGTCCCTTTACCCTTTACCTTATCTCTGAGCACCAGTCTCTAAGGATCAACAGTGGGAGAGTATTATTGACCTCATGCCTTGCTTCTGGGAATCCCACTGGCAACTGGTTGGCCAATGTGGGAACCTTGATTCTAGATTAGATGGGTCTTGATCTGATCAAGCCGGGCTTCTATTAGGTTCTTAGGATTCTATTTTTTCATGGTTGTCTACAATAAGCTGTTTTCTTTTTCTTTTTAGAAGACAAGACGAGAAACATTATATAAATAATTACAGCCCTTCCCTCTGTGCTCACGTACACTTCAGAACTTCCTGACTTCTGCAATAATAGCTTGCACTCGGCGGCAGCACCTGTTAAAAATGTGCTGTGCCCTTTAGAATATGTCTTAGCCGATCACAAAAGATGCTCCGCTTTATTGTGCGATTATTACCCGCTCTCTTTGGAGCCCCACGGCTTCAGACAAAATAATTCAAGCCATTGTTGCCGGCCAGCTTGATCCTGGAATCGCACAATCCTTAATCAGTTTAATATGCTTCATGTTCACGATTTGAAAAACACATAAGAAAGCAGCCTGCGCAGTGCAGATACGACAATTGGTGAAACAATCCCTTTTTTCATTGTGTTTGGGTAGTGCAAATCTTACCCGTCAGTAACTTTCCCTTCCTTTGCTTGGGAGAGTAAGCGAGACAGTTGTTCTCATGCCAGCAACTTTTGGTGCCAGGCTAGTGATCGAAATATGTTGCCTCTGGAGGTTCAAGTGCATTTAATAATCCCCCACAACACCTCCCACTTTTATTTTCCGTGACTGGTCCCTCTTCCCTCATCCCCGTTATCATGTTGTGAGCAGACAAAATTTGCCTATACAAACGAGGGGAGAGAAAAAACTTTAAATATATTTTGCTATCTGTCAAAATTCAACAGCTCTCTTCCTTCCCCCTTCTCCAAAATAGACAGAAGGAACAACAACAGCAGCAAAATCCTCAGCCAACACTGTCACGCTTTAAAACTTTATGTAATGTTAAAAGTACAAAGACCAGGGGCCTTTGTTCTCATTCAAAATAGCTTGCCAGCGTCTTTCAATAAACAAATAAATATTCGATAGCATATCAGAGTACTTAAAGCACAGTACTTACATTTGTCTAGCTGTAATCCCCAACTCACCTCAACAGTCGTAGGTCTGTGTTACTATCAGTATCCTTCAAGGCTGGGCCTACCATGAAGAAGAGTGAAGCTTTTGCACTTCAAGACCCCCATGCCACCCCCAGGAGAACAAAGACACAAGGATACAGAATTTAGGTTAATGTTAATGGGCAAAATTTAGGCCACAACTTTATTGGTTACAGAATGTGAGAGGTATTGGCTTAGGAATTGGCATCAATATACTATATCTGACTCCTGTCCACCTTGCAGGAAGTCTGGAAGGGTAAACCACCAGTAGGGGCCTTCCAGAGTCGTGCTGCGGTTTAAATGGGCCCTGGCCATGCCCCCACAGCGCCCTGATTGGCTGCCTGGCAAGTGGCGTGGTCGGGTCACCCTCAGCGTGATGTGGGATGCTATCCCGCACCACGCTGAGGCAGGGGCGGGACCTGGTGGCCCAAGCGCAACCCAGTCCCACTTGGAAGCAAAACCGATTTACCTCATCTTGGAGATGTTGCAGTGGAGAGGTGGGAAGATGGTGGAAGATGAAGCTTTGTGTACCTCACAGCCTGACCTGGAAATTTTCTTATTGCTCTCTGTTTTAGTAGAGAACAAAAGCAGGTTTTTAAGTAAGATTCAACTGCTAGTCCAGCTGATCGCCGTACATAGAATTGGTGGTGCTGTCTCGTTCTTCACCTCAGGATGCAAAATGTCTCTGTCCAGCCCAGACCACAGCATTGCAGAGGCTGTAAGAAGTGCTTTGTCTAAGTAAGTTAATGGCAGGTGGAAGATTCAAGCCATGGACTGATTAGTGGTGTAGCTAATATGCCACACCATCCATACCCTCCAACATTTCTCCAATGAAAATCGGAAAAACATTCCGGGATCAAATCAGAAACCAGGACAGCTTTGGTAAATCTGAGAGTGTCCCTGGAAAATGGGAACACTTGGGGGGCCTGCACATTTGTCAGCTTCTATGATATGGAGTATTGCATGTTCTACAAGGCAGCCAAATGTTGTAGCCATCCTGTACTGGAGCAGGAGGGTCTGTGGTCTTGAGTATAGCCTAGAGTTAGTCCTGCAGACCAGGCAACCTCTCCATATTTGCACTGTTGCTTACTACATCACCCAGAGGACCAAGCTAGAATCAAAATTACCCCACGTCGTAAGAGCTAGTGCTCTAAAATATCTAGCCTTACACTTCAAGAGCAGGTAGATGATATTACTAGGGCTGTGCACTGGATTCAGCCAAGGCTTGAGCCAAGTCAAGCATGTTTGGAGAGCCTTGGATGAGATGCATACCCACAGGCTGGAGGTGAGGCTTCAGGCAAGGAAGGAGAGGCAAGCAAAGCTGCAGGAAAAGTTTGAGACCTATCTGACTAGTGGGTGTGTCTATCCGGGAGAAGGTGTGCTCATTGCAGCAGCGATTGTTCCTGCTGGACATCCTACCACACAGGATCAATGTGTCTGCTGTTTTGTGAAAAACTGGTCAATTATTTTTAAAAATAAAATAAAGATGATTTCTAGTAAGGTCGTGCAAGATCTCATCAAAGTCCTGCAAGATGTCTAGGAGAGCAAAATATCTCTTAAGATTCTTGCAAGCTCTTTCAGGGATCAACGCCAGCAAAGCTTCTCCACAAGTGGCGGAGGTGAGTATCCCACTGGCGGTGTTGGTGTTGTGGCATGGCAGAGCAGTTTGGCACTTCCTGTTTTGCCTAAAGTGGCAAAGTGGGACGTACCACGCCTGACATCAGGATTTCAGAACTAACAGCTGTCAGTTCTGAGGGAAACAGGCAAGGACCCACAGCCCAGGTGGGGCTCACTAGCTTGGGGAGGAGTTGTCTGATTTCTGAGCTGGAGAAGGCTCAAGACAGGTGAGGCTCACATGCCTTGTCAACCCCAGAAACTAACAGAAAAGCTGCCCTGGCCTGGCCAGGAAATGGGGAGGAAAGGCTGTGGAAATGAAGCAACAGGCAACATTTCTTGTGAACAACTCCAAATCCTTACCTAGTTTGGCGTGAGGCATCTCCTATTTTTATTTTTTGACTGCTCTTTTGTGCAAATGGTATATGTGCACATGTAAACAAGTACAGAGTGGGTGCTGCATCACACAGGATCTGATCCTCCCATTTACCACTGATTTTGGACAGCTTCTTCATGAGCTGCTTGTTTTCTTTGATTGTGGAGAAGCCACTTGAAAACACGCTGCAGATCCGATCCTGTGTGATCCCAGGTCACTCCCCCTTCAAGCTTTTAAAAACTCTAAGAATATAGTTTTAAAATCCTTTTAAAAACCTTTAGCCCTACCCCTCCAAATTGCTTTAGGGTCAAATCTGAGGTGGCGCAAGTGGTTCCCAGTGCAGCAGACAGCAACTCAACCTGAACCAGAGGCAACAGAATAGGACCACCGGGCTCACTATCACTTGAATTACACCAAATGCCACCCATTTTGCTTTCCATACTGAAAACGTAGCTTCAGTATAGGGACATAGTGTTTCTAAACAAAACAAAATTTTAATGGTCATCGTTTTTCAAGCCTGCGGGGGGGGGGGGGGAGAGAAGTTTCACCTCTGCTTTCTTCTTTGTTTCAGCACTATTTTCATCTGGCAAGACCATTTTTCCTTCCTATGGTGACTCCAATCCATCAGGAACCTCGTAGTGAAGCTGTTGAAATCACTGTGCTATACAGCCAATCAGATGTGGCTACATAGCAATGCCACAGGGAAGGGGGAAGACAAAGCCAATTGCGAGTCAGGACAGTGCTTCCTGTATTGGTCACATGGGTTATCCCAGCCACTTGGCTGGCCAGTTGCCATCACTCTGTACGGGGAAACACTTTCACCTTCTTTTGGTGCAATCTCTGGAAAAAAATCACAAAAAGCGGATAGGTAGGGCAAGTTCGGCCTCTATAGAAATGAAGTTGAAAGACTGTAACTTAATTCTGGGACTTTCGGTTCTGCTTGGATGCCAAATTCCCTTAACTGGATGCTGCAACTTCTGACACCCTGACTTATAAACACATTGGAGGGATGAATAGGAAGCAGGAAATGGCTATGATTGGAGATGCAAACTTTTTTGATTAATACTTCACACATTGTAGGATTGACTCCTTATTGTAAACAGGTGTCCCACTACTTCAGGGCTGAGCAGCGGGTGAGTGTTGGCTGTAATGAAACAAAAGATACTTAGTGCTATGTTATCAGCACCAAGAGCCGAGGGAAATCATCACAGTTTATTAGCATGCTAAAGGTGAACACAATGCTAACTGTTATCCAGTATATATTAATACCATCATCATATCCATGATTCCAGCATCTCCATCCAACATAATGAAATCCTGTTGACTTCAGTGAAACATACTTCCAAGTAAACGTGCTTAGGATTGCAACCTTGGATGCTTAATCCCTGGACATTTTACAGTTCATTAGCAGCAGCATCCACAGCCATCTGACAGTTGGCCAGAACACTGTGCTAAACTCGAGGATAATGAGGTTTAGAAACTATCTTAGAGGAATGCGAAGTCTCTGGAGTATCATTGGATTGTACATGGGAAAAATTGCAAATTGTTTCACAGATCTTTTTGTTTGGGAAGTCTCTAGGACGGTGCCTCGGTGGCACAATTGAACTAATTCCATTTCAGAATGTGCGCTGATGAAAAAAAGTCCTCCCTCTTCCTCCACACTTCCCTAGTTAAAAATTGAAAATCCCGTGTCATGAGTATACTGTCATCTCAATGGACATGGCTTTACTTGAATTGCCTTTGTCCCAAAGGCCAGGGGGACTTCTAATTCCAGAAATAATAAATCCCATTTATTTGGACTGCCTGGTTCAAAAGTTTTGAAAATATAGTTTGCCTCAACACCTCCAGAATGAAGACACCAAACAAGTAGTAAGATTCAATGGTTGCCATTTATTAAACTACAGTGGTACCTTGGTTTAGTTGATGAACAACTTGTAAATAGAACACTGCAAACCTGGAAGTAGGTGCTTTGGTTTGTGAATTTGCCTTCAAAGCTGAACATGTTCTGCTTCCTGTTGAGTGTGTTCTGTTTGTAAATTGAGTCCCCCACTGCTAATCAGAGGCTTCCTGTTGAGTCTGTTGGCTGTTGAGTCCTGAGCACCCACACAACATAGAGGTGATATTGGAGCTTTTATTTTTGCTATTTTTTGCATTTTTGTTTGTGTGGCTTTTTCATTTTTTTGACTGTGACTTGTTCTTCGTTTTATGGGACTGACTTGTGACTGTGGCTTGTTACTTCGTTTTTGTGACTTGTTTCTGTTACTGTGTGAAACCCAGTTCAGTTACTGATTGATTGTGTAACTGCAGAAATGGATAAAAGCCCCCCATTCAAACAATGACTAACATCAGTACACGACAGTACACATACAGTACAGTACACATAAGAAAAAATATAATTTTAATTTCTATCATCTACAATACTGTCTTATTTATAGTACAGTGGTACCTCGGGTTACAGACACTTCAGGTCACAGACGCTTCAGGTTACAGACTCCACTAACCCAGAAATAGTACCTCAGGTTAAGAACTTTGCTTCAGGATGAGAACAGAAATCGTGCTGCAGTGGTGGCGCGGCGGCAGTGGGAGGCCCCATTAGCTAAAGTGGTACCTCAGGTTAAGAACCGTTTCAGGTTAAGAATGGACCTCCAGAACGAATTAAGTTCTTAACCCGAGGTACCACTGTACAGTACATTGATCATTGCCTTCATTTTATGGAACAATGGTCTCGTTAGATAGTAAAATTCATGTTAAATTGCTGTTTTAGGGGTTGTTTTCAAAAGTCTGGAGTGGATTACTCCATTTTGCATTACTTTCTATGGGAAAGCACACCTTGGTTTTGGAACGCTTTGGTTTTGTAATGGACTTCCGGAACAGATTAAATTTGAAAACCAAGGTACCACTGTATAAAGTTTGTTTTATGGAAAGCAAAGAATATAAAGGACCACCGGTGAGAATTATTGCAAGCCAGCCAATTGAAATTCTGAAATGAGATCCGTTCCCAGCTGCAGAACAGACATCAATAAATAAACATGTGGACAAAGGATATTTCCAGGCTTCAAAAAACACACCTGATTCTGAAGTTTAGTTCTAGCTCATTTGACATACATATGGGGTGTCAAGTATAATCAAGGGCCTTCCTAGTGGCTGCTCCCAGATTTTGGAGCTCACTTCCTAGAGAGGCTATACTGGCTCCCTCTTTGTTGTCCTTCTGCCAGCAGGTGAATACAGTTTTATTCTAGAAGGTTTTGGGGAAGTGGTTGTTGTTTAAGGAAAGGCCTCTTAAGAGTGCTGTGCTGCTCTCTGCATTTTAATATATTTGTTTTTATGCCATTTTGATTCCATTACAGTTTAGAATTACAGTGGACCTTCTGGATATGAATTTAATTTGTTCTGGGCGTCTGTGTGCACCCTGAAAAATCCGTATCCAGAGGCGCCACTTCTGTGCACATGCGCGGCCGATAGAGCACTTCTGCGCATGTGTGTGGAGCACAGAGTGCTTCTGCGCATACGCAAGCATCGAAACCTGAAAAAATACTTCCGGGTTTACCGCTTTCACAACCTGAAGTTTACGTTACTCAAGAGTAACATAACCCGAGAGTAATGTAACCTGAGGGTCTACTGTATAGAATTATGACCATCCGATGAAGTTGAATGTCGGAAGATTCAGGACACCCAGAAGAAAGTACCATATTTCTTTGCACGACACAAAGTTAACCTATGGACTTTGCTCCCGCAGGAGTCAGTGCTGGATGTGAGTGCAACAGCCCTCCCCATCCCCCAATTGCAATTCCATCAGCAGCTTCTGACAGTGGAGGTGGAACATAGCCATCTTGTCAACCCTTGTGCCCATTCTGCATACACATTTTTACCCTGCCATGTGGACAGGCAGGCTCCAACATGCACCTGCAACTTGCATTCATTTGCTCCTGGGTAAGAAGGGATGCGGGTGGCGCTGCAGGTTAAACCACAGAGCCTAGGACTTGCTGATCAGAAGGTCGGCGGTTCGAATCCCCGCGACGTGGTGAGCTCCCGTTGCTCGGTCCCTGCTCCTGCCAACCTAGCAGTTCAAAAGCACCTCAAAGTGCAAGTAGATAAATAGGTACCACTCCGGTGGGAAGGTAAATGGCGTTTCCGTTCGCCGCTCTGGTTCGCCAGAAGCGGCTTAGTCATGCTGGCCACATGACCTGGAAGCTGTACGCCGGCTCCCTCGGCCAATAAAGCAAGATGAGCACCGCAACCCGAGAGTCGGTCACAACTCGACCTGATGGTCAGGGGTCCCTTTACCTTTACCTAAGAAGGATTCATTGCATTGCACTGCCCTCTCATTCCAGGGCATTTCAACAGCGTTGCTTGCTGGATGGACAGTTCTGTTTTATATCCCATTCTGATGGCACAATTTCTCCTCTCTTGGCTTACCAGCCCAAATGCTTAACCATCGAGCAAAGACGGGTCATCTGAAAAGGGTTCTTAAGGAGGAGGCATTAAAGCACCACAAAATCCTTTTAAAACCTTTGCTAGCACTGTTTCCTGGGGATAAATCCTGTTAGGAACATTCTAGCTGAATACAGGGCTTAGGACTTGAAACTCACAAATAGCTACTCTCTTTCTCTCTCTCTCTTTTTTTCTTTTTGGCACCAGCTGTGTTCATGTTTCTGAAACAACATCACCAGCCGGACTGAACATTCGCTATGAACATTTCGGCAGTAATTTAAATGTTAAAGGGCAACATGATTTTTTTAAGTGCCTTCCCTCCCTCCCTCCCTTCCATGGCCAGTTGTGGCCTAACAGCTTGTGTGAGAGCAGGAGGCAGCACGCAATTTTCAAGAACAGTAACAAGGGCAGCTTGTGTTTACTGCAATATCTTCTACACCACAGAATGTGAGGTGTTGAATATGGAAATGTAAGCTGTGCCAAGGAATGGTATTAATAGGCAGTGAGAATGTGATGTTCAAAGGAGGAAAAAAACAATGGTTCCATAATATATATTTTTATATATGTAGAGATAAAGTAGTACACTTTTCATTCCTTGTATGCAATACCTTCTCAGCCTGCGTTGTTTTCATTCCAGCAAAGTTGCCAGTTTGAAAGCCCAGGGAAATACAGTTCCATTATGTGTGTGTATATTTCCTCCCATCGTAAGTGGTTCCTGGTATTATTCCAGTAATGGAAGCCCTGTGCAATGGCAACTATATCTTATTGTATGTTTTGGGCTGTGTTTGTGTGTGTTTGTGTTTGTGTGTGTGTGTGTGTGTGTGTGTGTGTGTGCAGGGGGCTAGGAATCCTTTAACTTTAGACACAAGGTTTAAATGAATTTTTACATGCTGTGCAGAACTGATTTTAAGGTAAAATACCTGGCTTCTTATGCTGGTTCAATAGTGCTGCAACTCCAGGTGAGACATGGGTGACACGACCAGGGACCCAGGTGGTTGTTGTGGCCCAGGAGGCATATCAGCAAACCTATACTCCTATACACCTATACTCACACTTTCTGTCATAGCACACAACTCTGAAACACAATTGACCTCAGCCTGCTAAGTGCTGAGTCTGCATAAACACGTTATCTCAGCCACAACCACAAGGAATCTGTGCCATTGCCCTGTATTGGTAATGTACTGGACATATAGTCATCTTTCTCCAGCCTGCTTATTTTGCAAGGAATTCAGTGCTGCCTTGAAGATCTAACAGCTTGCTAATTCTCCCCGAACCTCCTATCTGTGAATAACAAGGTGAATTTTCGCATTTTGCTGGCATAGCACCCATTATGGACCTCTCTTATCAGCTTCCAAAAGCAGAGAAGAGCAAGCTAACCTTGAGCAGGAGAAATACTGGGGGATCTTCAAAGAAGAGAAGCAGTAAATTCTCCCGACCTAGACAAGTCTTCATGTAGCAGATAGCAGAAAGGCAACATTTGGTATGAAATTTACTTAAAGATACCTGTTGTCATAGTAATTAGGGGCAGGCTGTTCTGACCAATGAAATTTGTTTTAGGGGTCTACAAGCTGCCCATGCATTCTGTTATCCAGTGATATTACAGTGGTACCTCGGGTTACAGACGCTTCAGGTTACAGACGTTTCAGGTTACAGACTCCGCTAACCCAGAAATAGTACCTCGGGTTAAGAACTTTGCTTCAGGATGAGAACAGAAATTGTGCAGCGGGAGGCCCCATTAGCTAAAGTGGTGCCTCAGGTTAAGAACAATTTCAGGTTAAGCATGGACCTCCGGAATGAATTAAGTTCTTAACCCAAGGTACAACTGTACTGGAAAGGATCGTGCACGAGGTGATCACACATGTAAATGTTATAAAAGTGTCTTGAATTTTGTATTCGGGGTCCAGAATTTGGAGAATTCCTCTGAGTCATTTATTCTTGTTGCAGCCTGTAATAAATATGAACTCTTTCCTGCTGTCTTTATTTGGCTAAAGAGGACTGTCGTGTTTCCAGACCCCCTTTGTAGGATAGCACAGGCAGATTGTGAGGTAGGATTGTATGTTTTACCCAGAAAGGCCTGAGAAAGCCAAACTATAGAATAAAAGTTTTTCAGGAAAGGTAAGCCTGTTCTGTTTAGAAAAGCTTTTCATGACTTTCTTGCAATTAAAGTTTAAAATTGTGCTGACTGTGGAAATTGTTTTTAGATATGATTTTTTTTTTTATTTTTAATGATGTTATGATATTTCTATATTGTCTTTGGTGCCAGTTACTGAAAGATGGCATATAAATGCTTTCAGTGAGCAAGCAATTGGCCACTTTCAACTTCTTTGTAGTTTGATTTTCTGAACCACAATATAGAACAACTATTTAAGTATAACCAAGACCTTGGGAATGAGTCTGACCTTTCTTGGAAGAGCAAATTCCTATATTGTCAAAAATGGGTTTTTGAATTTTTTTTCCAATTTCAAAAGTTTGCCCTGTTTCTATCCAAGCATAAATCTTTAATCCTTTTGGGTGCTCTGAACTCTGAACATTGACCCTGACCAAGCTAAAGTCTTAGAGTACCTCCACCAATACG